GGCACGTGAGCTGGGATGCCCTTAAGCTCTTCAGGTATCAGTCACTCTAGAGTGAATAGGACCAGTATTGATGACAAGCTAGCCTTTTGGTTTTGCTCAGGAGAATCATTAACCATTTTTAGGTAAATCTCTACTCTTACCAGACAATTTAGAACCTATACCTTTGTGATGTTTGGTATGGGATTTATGTTTTTTTTTTCCTCTGCCCACTGAGGTATCATGTGGGTGATTTTTCTGAGCTTTGGTTTTTATCTCTATAACTGCCTGTCTTTCTAAAATGTCTAAGTCTTGGGGTACCTGGTAGCTCAGTCTGTTAAACGTCTGTCTTCAGCTCAGGTCATGATCCCAGGGTCCTGGGATCGAGCCCTGCAGTGGGCTCCTTGCTCAGTGGGGAGCCTGCTTCTCCCTCTGCCTCTGCCATTCCCCTCCCACTCGTGCTCTCTGGTGCGCGCGCTCTCTCTCTCTCTCTCCGCAAATAAATAAAAATAATTTTTTTTAAAAGATGTCTTTCAAAATCTCCCAAACAGAATTTTATGTACAACACATCATCTGTCATTTAAGCTAATTCCAGCCCAAACACATCTTCCAAATGTAGGAAAAACTCCATCCAGGGATATGCGTGTGTGTGTGTGTGTGTGTGTGAGAGAGAGAGAGAGAGAGAGAGAGATAAATTATAATAAAGAGATGGAAACTGACACAGGTAACTTGAATTGGCCTTTTATATCTTGCATGGTCATTAATGTACCCATTTGATCCTTTTAAGTAGCCGCCGCCTCTTTGAGAACTCTTTTCCCCAAAATGAAGCAGGTGGTCCTCCTCTGGTTCCCCTTATTTACATTTATAAGGACATTGGACAAGCAACTGTGTACCCCCTTCACTTCTTGTTTTGCCTTCATTCGAATGGTGATGCTTGAGCAGTGGGAGATGCGGCATCATCTATAGACATCCAGGAACTGACTCTTGTGCTGGTTGGTACAAGGCCTGGAGAACCTGATGAGTCTAGGCGTCTCTGTAAAGGGAAGTGCAGTGAGTGATTCTGTCCCGAGTGTCACATAAGCCCTGGGCATTCGTGAACAGGGCTCCAGAAAGAATTCAGACTTTCCTGCTGGCAAGCCCCTGTCGTCAAGGACAGAGTCACCAGCAGCTACACGCTTGATCAGCAGCTCTTCTGCTGGGAGGGATGCTGCTTCTCTTTGGTGCTCTGTGGCTTCCATTAAGTTTCTGTGCATCTGCTTAAATAAAATGGGACTCATCCAGTCTATGTTGTGCGTTTTCATTGGTGTGGGTTCAATAATCCATAGCTAACCCCACTGGCACAGTGCGTTGATGTCTACCTGTGTGCAAATTGTTCCTCGTCCTCGCATCCTCTTTTTTAAAAGAAAGCCTAAGCAAGCACCATGACTACTCATCTTAATATCAGTCGCCCCTTGTATAGCTCCTGATACACAGTGAGGCCTCAAATAGTTAACCATGTGGAAAAACATAATGCAGTTGTGTAAGATTTTATGCTGTAAGGTACATAACATTTCTTATTTTATTTGAGCTTTGCTGCCAGTAGCTTTTAAACTTTGATTCCAAGGAATACTGCTGTTCTCTTGAGCTGAACTGAGGACTTTTGCCTCTAAAATCTAATAAGAGTCCTTTCTTAATTAACTAAAAAATACCAATGAATAATGGGTTATTTTTTTCCATTTTCAGTTCCCTTCCCACACCATCATTCTTTTTTCTTAAAAGCTTTGATTTCTATAGTAAGTCTATACCTGGTTCAGCACAGGATTATGTTTTACTAGTTTAATTTACATATTATTTCTTTTTATAAATTTTATTTACTTATTAGAAAGAGAGAGTGAAAGAGAGCACAGGTAGGTGGGAGGAGCAGAGGGAGAAGGAGAAGAAGACTCTCCACTGAGCAGGAAGCCCAACATGGGACTTGATCATGGGACTCCATCCCAGGACCCTGGGATCATGACATGAGCCAAAGACAGATGCTTATGGACTGAGTCACCCAGGTGCCCTAATTTACATATTATTTCAGGAAAATTAGGTGTTCAGCTTTTGAGCTGCTAACACTGTTCACAACAAGAGCCAAGTGCTATTAAGTTCATTTTATTGGGGGGTGCAGGATTTCCTGCATGAAAACTGCAGACTGCACAGTTCCATGTCCCATGCCTGCCTTCTTTTATTTCAGCCTTCTATCAACATGATGATTTTTTTTTTTATCACTAGGTTTTAAATGATGAGAATGTGTCACCAAGCCACCTAGTGTCACAGAGACAGGAGAGGTGAATCTCGGTTTTCATGACTCCAAAATCCACGGTCCTCTTTACTGTATGGACACATGATAGTTCTTAGAGTCGAGTCTAATCTCACTGTTATGTTATAAGCTCCTTCACTGGAGAGGTCATGTGTTATTTACTTTTTCCCTCCCACAGAAAATTTTCTAAAACTGGATGTGGTTGTCTTCCTTTTGTTTCAGTTAGCGGTGTTTACAAGGTGGGCCTTCTACTCTATTACATACATGTAAGGATTTCCCCCAAATTGTCTCCAGTACTTGGAATTACTTGTCTTCTGTTCTATATTAGGATGCATCTGTGTGTCCTTTAAGTTGTAACTCAGTCTCTTCTTGGCAGGCACCTTCAAATGAGGCTTGGCAATTAAAAAAAAAAAAAATACAAGTATCAAATGAATTTTAAATTGCCAAAGGAATGGTTGTTTAAAACTCTCTGAGATAGCAGCTCATATTTAAATATGCTCATTTTTAATTCCAGTGTGAAATGATTTATGCTTATTATTAACACATTAAGACAGCCAAAGGAAAATTAGAAGGTGACTCAACAGAAGACATTCAAGTGTGGAATCCAAAAAAAGTAGAGAAGAACAAAACTTATTCCAGATGAGTTGGGAGTATGTTTAAGGTCTAGTCACCTTCCTTTGTTTTTTTTGTTAATGATCCAAATAGTGGGTACACTGGTACAAAACTGAACTGTGTTGTCCCAGGAAACACCCTGTAATATTATGGCCTATTGATTGAATGCACAAACTCAAGTTCATATTGTCATAGAATTATGTCTTAAATAATTAAACATTTTATTATTAAAACAGCAGATATTGATGATAAGTAAAGAGTCATAACCATGTCCTTAGAGTTGCAAGAAATCTCTCCGGTGGCTTTAAGAAGAATATATTTATTATCCAGGAAAAGTAACAGGACTGTCTCTCTCTCTCTCTCTCTCTCTCACATAGACACACAGACACACACACGTATATTCTGTATATATTCATATATGTGTGTATGACTTGGCTGAAAAAACAGTACAGTTGTCAATCACTAAGATTTCCATTTCTGTGCCTCTAAATCAACCTATTTTTGGACCTTGGTGTTCCCTGCTGGTTTTACTTGCTTTTAATTTGTTTTTAGATCACTGGCATGCAATGGCCTGGTCTGGCTTAAATGTTTAGAAACTAACTGGAGTTTCATAGAGTTTTCTCCAATCTCCTCTTAATTTTTAGGATAATAGATTGCTTCTGAGGATATCACTTTTAGACAGATTTGTTCACTTTATATTAACGGTAATTCAGATCACCTGAATCAGGGAAAATATTGGTACAGGACTAAGGCCCTATTGCCTTGAGATATTTATGATATTTTCACTCCTACTTATTTTCATTTAATGTCTCTTTCAAGAGAGTTGGCAACCATACAACTGTTGCTATGTCACTTGCTTAAGAAATTTTTACATGGAAATGGAGGAATTAGGGAATAACATAGTAAAATGTTTATTAATAAAAAAGAAATAATAGGCTGTAAACTTGGGCTTTATAACACCTTTTGGTTAGTATTTCATCCTCAGTAGATCTTAATTTCCTATTATAAAAGAAGTTATTTTTAAAAAAACAACAAGGATAAAAGGAGTCTGAACAAAGTTGGAAGGTATTAGCATCTATATTTTGTACAAAGAATAAAAATGTTGGAAATCAGATTTGTAAATAACTTCAAAATGGATTCACTTTTTGTAACTGTACCATATAAAATGAAATATGAAAAAATGTTCTTTTAAGCAGCAATAGCTCAAGAGAGTTGGGGAAGATTTTGCAGAATATTGATAAATGGAGAATTGCATTTCTCCTGCTTTCCATTTTTCCCCCAAAGTGTGCGAATAAGAAGTTAATTTTTATAAGAGAGCAATTTTTAGACCACAAAAGGACATTTTTGAGAGTTTGCTCTACAATGGCCAATTTTGTATGAAACAAATTATTTTAGGCCTAATTGCAGGCAGACTAGTTAGGCCGCTAGCTCTGTTAAGGTTGAATTTCACTTGAACTTTCTAATAGTATGATCTTTTCTCAGAATTTAATAACTAGCTCAAATATTTAATAGTGGAAGCTTTTTCATTAAATTAAAAAGAAATCAAGATATTATTTTAGAAGAACTAACTTATTTTCCTTACCAGTTTTATCGACTTCAGGAGAAAAGGAGAGAATGGAACCAATCTCTTTCTATACTTAAATAGACATTAATGCTCTAACCCCAGCAAATAATATATTTCAATGTATATCGTCATTCAAAAGATTTGGGAAGCACCAAATGGCAGCAGTAACTATACTTCTAGCTCTACTGAAAAGCAAATTGCACTGACTATGTGAACCTCTTCACTCGTCTGCGGGATAATCATTCTTTTTAATACTCAGATACATTCTCTAGATCTGTTTCAGTTGCACACTGCCAACCTCTGCATTGCCTAAAGGTTTTGGTTAAGTACAAAGACTTGTTTTGAAATGCAAGTGGGGAAAGAGGAGAATTGCAAGATTTTGTTTCCATGTGTCAGTCTGTAAATAGATGACAAAAGATCATTAAATGGATTAATTTACAAGCATCCTTAGAAATAGAATGTTTTTACATAAAAGCATGTTGTAAACCTTTTTAATTAAATTGCATTGTACCCTGCACTCTCTCCTCCCCAGGGTTCTGCTGACCTCTCACCTCTTACTTTGTCCTACAGGCACTCCACTGCTGGTGAGGAGAAGCAGTGACCCAGCTCCAGGCCCACCTGCTGACGCCCAGCCCAGGGCTTCACACCCCAGTGGCCAGAGTCTGAAACCTGTTATTCTAGTAGGTATCCTGCCGTTTGCCTTTCTAATGAAAGATCAAAGTGCCTTACCCATAGACTAACTGGGACTTTGCAGTCTTAAGTGAGCTGATCATTGGAGAGCATTTGGCAGGACATACAGTGTTAGTAATAGCTCCTCTGGAATATTCTAGGAATTTATACAGCACTGATTAGTGCTTTACACTGCATCATTTAAACTTCCACATCAAGGTGGGCACCAATTTTGGCCTCCATTTTACTATAATGCCATTGAGGCAGAGGGAGGTTTAGTAATTTTTCTAAGGTCACAACTAGTAAAGGACAGTAAAGAATTGAACCCAATTGATTTGGATCCAGAGTTCCATGCCGTTCACCAGCGCACCGCGCCGTCGAATTTCCTCCATCCTCCTGCTTTGAACGCCCAAGGATATCATTTTATGTATTTTCATTGTGTTAATGCAGGCGTTTTTGAAGTCCCACCATGGTGAGTGGTCATAGAGTTTCGAGATACCAATATCATGTATGTTGTGGTACCAGTACTGGGTTTCTAGAACTCAACATCCAAATTAAAGAAAAATAAAATTATATATCAGAAGTGCTTGTAACAAGACTCACTTCTAACTGATGGGTTAAATGGAGAATGAACCCTGAAGAGCTGGTGTCCGCCTTTCATATAATGTGGTACTGTCGGATCTTTCTGATAAACCCCGAGCACTTGGAAGAGTTGTGACTGTGGTCCATCCTTGGAAGTTGCCTGAGAGATTTTGGTTAATGGGTATATATTTGTGCAATAGTGGAGCCATTTTAAAAAGTTTCCTAAAAACCAGTCTCTTTCCCATTTTAAGTCTCACTGTCTATAGTGCCCTAAGGAAAAAAGCAATATTTTAGACTTACATAAGGATGCTGAATGAACTAGCCAGATTCTCACCAGTTTGGTATAAAATGTTCTCAAGAACATGTGCCAGTGTATGAGTTAGGAGTCCCTATATCAAACCACTGAGTATTTACTAATAAGATTGTGGCAGTGTTTTGGCATATTTCTTTCTGTAAACAAGGAAACAATTGTCCTCAAAGTGTTTTATTTTTTTTTAAAGATTTTATTTATTTATTTGACAGACAGAGATCACAAGTAGGCAGAGAGGCAGGCAGAGAGAGAGAGAGGGATAGGAGGCTCCCTGCTGAGCAGAGAACCTGATGTAGGGCTCGATCCCAGGACCCTGGGATCATGACCTGAGCTGAAAGCAGAGGCTTTAACCCACTGAGCCACGCAGGCGCCCTCTCAAAGTGTTTTAGATGTAAAGTTTCCCCACTGTCCTTTTAAGGAAACATATTTAATGGAACATTACTTTAATAAAAATCAGGTGTATGTGTTCCACTCTGTTGGTGAGTTTAAACAGAACTAGTATTTAGCACACTGATTGAGACTGTGTTAAACCCAAGTATACTGGATTGGAGGAAGAGAAGCTGTATAAATGAGAAAAGTTGTAGTTTACTGCTCATTTTTTCAATGTAGGTATACCCCAAGTCAGAGTATATCTGATTGTGTTACCATCATTTACATGCAGAGAATTACCCGCATGTAGTTCAATGTTTTTATCACTTAGGTTCTGTGTTTAGACCAATCGAAAATATTCAATACTGCTTTCCTTACAGGAAATGAGGACTAGTATGTTTCTGATAGATTCCATATTCTTACCAAACTAGGATACCATTGAGTTCTAAGTTGAGGTATTTGGTGAGGGAGTATATTACTACTAGCAAAGATGCAAATCCTAATTCAAGAAGAAAGGCTGGCACCCCAAATCCTTTTACCTAACCGTATGCAAGTTTCCAAGCAGTGGCTGAGTCTGTATGTATCAACAGTAAAAAGGAAATCACATTTTTTCCTTTCCTCAATGTTCTCTGTGGCTGATGAAATGCAGATCTGAGGCCCAAAGAACAGAGTCTGGTCCTTGCTTGCCACAGAATACTGGCACATCCTAGACTTCTCTTCCTTTGGTTGTAAAATAATGTCCAAGCAAACTTGAAGCCTTAACAGCCCAAGGTGCAGACATTGTGCCTTATTTGTCTATCTCTAGTGCCAAGCACACAGAGGGTACATGCTATGTATGTGTTGGACTCAGGAATGTAGGCCCATATTCGTCTATGGAGAGTTCTAGAAGTTCTCAGAAGTTACCCACCTGTTCTAATTTGGCCATTCTCTCTGTTACCCAAAAGATCTACCAGGTAAAGATTTATCTGCTCCAAAGTCTGGTTCATCTCAAGCAAAAGAGGCAAATCGTTTAACTGCCATACTGTGAAAAGCAGGCTAAGTTAGTAAAGGAAGACGTTCATTTGAGTCTGTTTTTACCCAGAAGAAAAATGTGTGTGTGTGTGTGTGTGTGTGTGTATGTGTGTGTGTGTGTGTATTATGCTTCTGTTCATTTATTCCTATGTATCCTAATTCAAGGACCTGTCATAGGACCTGCTTGTCCAATACTATAACCACTGGCCACGTGTGGTTATTGAGCACTAAAAATGTGATTCGAGTGTAACACACATAATGCATTTTAAAGATTGAGATATAAAAAAAGAGTAATATGGAAGACCACATTAATAATTTTTATATTGACTATGCATTGAAATGACACGATGGTATATTAGGTAGAGTAAAATATACTATCAAAAATTATTTTCACCTGTTTCTTTTTAAAGCATGGCTACTAGCAAGTTTAAAATTAGATCTATGGTTCACATTCTACTTCCATTGGACAGAAGAGCTCTAGACACAGTAAAATTGGATCTAGCATTAATGAAATGGTTTGAGACCCTTGGGAGAAGGTCTTTGAGTCGCCCATCATCTCTGCGGTAACAGTATGATTAGATTTGCCTGGGGCAGTCCTAGTTTGTGCCTGTTGTCCTGGCATAATTATTAATAGTGTCCCCACCAACTCCCAGAGGTGTCCATGTACGGATGATGAATTATGTGGCACCCTACATATAGCCCCATAGTCACTTTCATTGTTTGCTCAGCGATAAGAGGAACGGCCTTTCAAGGAAACCATGGGAACACAACCACGACTCTCACAAGGGAGCACACTACAGAGAGGGGTTGTGTGGCCAGTCCCCGAGCCCAGGAACTGCAGAACTGGAGATTGCAGATTCTTCCCCATCTCTCAGATTCCATAGTCCCACTTGGTACTTCCTCTATAAACTCACCATATTTGATGTCTATGAATTAATAAGTGATGATGAATATGGGATGTGTGTGATAATTCAGCCATGGTACAAGTAACATGAACAATAATTGCTTAAAAAGCTCTGTTCAATGACATTGCATTCCAATATCCAAAGGAAGAAAAACAATCAAAATTTCCAGCTCTTAAACAGAGTGTTCACATGTAAGTAATTCACAGATGGCAAAGCCCCAAGTGGGTTATGTTCAGTCGTTCCCAAGAAATGAAACTTGCTTATAACCCACAGCTTAAAAAGCTATAAGGATGAATATTTGACACATTTGATTATGTTGAAATATTGCCTTTAAAACCACAGTTGATGACTGTTATTTTTACTTGCACTTCATTAGGCTTATTATAGCAGGAAGAACTTTCTTTGATGCCCAGAGATGCATGTTTGTGAAAAGCTGGAGAAGTTGCACTTGTTTTCTGGCTGGTTAAATTATTACAAATTGGTTATTTAAGATGTACACCCTCAGACAAGGTGAAGTTTTAAAAAGCGTTTAAATTAGGAAAATCAAATTCTGTACAAGTCTCAAATTCTGTGTACTGAAAAGACACCAAACCTCACTCTTTGTTACTTAGGGTACCACTGGCTAAACAGCATGGAAATTTATTTTCTTTCTTCCTCTTTTCATAAACCCGTCGGTTAATCAGAATAGCATAATTATTAATGTGCAAATTGTAATGACTATTTATCTTTCAAGGCAATAGAAAATCCAATCCTACTGACTGCTTTTGAATTAAAGAAAGAGAATCCTGGGGGCAAGATGTAATAGTGGGAGTCTGCTTATGGGATGTCTTACCTCCCTTGCCTTGATTGTAACCTGGTGTTTTTGGCTTAAGGGCATGCCATAAAACCGGGTTCTTGAAATTGATGTTCCCGAATTTGTGGGTGGAAGAGAACTCTAAACCAGATGTGATTTTTTTCTTAATATCCGGTTAACTACTATGGTTGTTTTAGGTTTTAATGACTGTTTATAGTTTCACATTTAACCCCTGAAGCAAAATGATCCTGCAGGGTGAGTAAATTAAAAAGTGGATTCCTGAAAATTATAATGCTGTGGTTGTTCTTGGATATTAAATGACTTTGTTTGTTCTAAAACCGTTACTTCTCTTGCATCACCAAAATAAATTAAGAAAATATTGGTCCGTCTTTTAAAGAGTTCATATCCACAACATATACATTTTCTTTTTCAAAAATAGTATGGCAATACTGGGGTTATTAAGTCGGGAGTTCATGGATGAGTTTCAGAGGGTCTGTTAACCCTGAGGTGTTATGCTGTGGACCATTGCATGGGCATGCATTTCTTTTTCTTTTCTTTTTTTTTTTTTTTTTGAGATTTTTTTTTTAATTTATTTATTTGACAGACACAGATCACAGAGATCACAAGTAGGCAGAGAGGCAGGCGGGGGGAGGGGGGGGCCGGGGAAGCAGGCTCCCTGCTGAGCAGAGAGTCTGATTAGGGACCTGATCCCGGGACTCTGAGATCATGACCTGAGCCAAAGGCAGAGGTTTAACCCACTGAGCTACCTAGGTGCCCCACGGGCATCCATTTCTTGTGAAGGAGACTCTCTTCCTTTTTTTTTTATTTATTTTTTTTATTTGAGACTCTCTCACATCTTATCAAATTTTAAAAGGGAAAAAAATGATCAAGAACTGCTTGTTTGCAGGTTTAGGATGAAACAATGTGAGAAAGCCATCAATTCTCAGAATTTGGTGAAGGATAGAGATTAAGAAGTGTGGTGGGAATTTACACCACCCCCCAAATATTAAATAATTAAGGCTGTTTCATCTTATTATCACG